AAAATATATTTTTAAAAACTCAAGAACAACAAAATAGGCTTTTAAAATATGTATGTGTGTAGGGAGAGGGTTTTTATCAACCAGAGTCAAGCAAAACTTTGGGAGAAAAAAAAACTGTTCCATGGTGCATTTGCTTTTCCTGTTTCTTAATCAGCTGCTCAGCAAATGTACTTGTCTCTTCCTTTTCCTGTTTCTTGGTCAGCCTGGCCTGTGTCACTAGCAGTAGTTCAGATTGTTGACTCCTGTTGTTCTAAATAGTTAGTTTGAAGATACAGATGATCATAGTTTGGGATAACTGAGTGAATTTTGTTTACATTTTTTTTTACATTCCTACCCAATCCCTCCATTCAACCACTGTCAAAAGACTAGGCTAACTCCAGACCTAACTACATTTATATGAAGCTCCGTCTACACTGCCATGTATAATCCATATTATCTGATTTTAACTGGATTATATGGCATCTAGACTCATATAATCCAGTTCAAAGCAGATAATGTGGATTATCTCATTTGATAATCTGGATTATATGGCAGCGTAGAAAGGGCCTCTTTCAGAGGGAAACAGAAGCAAACTTTTTCTGAACAAATCTTGTTCCTCAAGGCACCAATGATAGGTTCATCTTAATGTTACTATAGGTTAAAAGCAACTTGAAGGTATGCCACAACAATATAGCAGACCTGCAAAGTGTTATTGGTTATGGGTCAAGTGATAAATATAAAATATCATTTTTTATTTTTAAAAAAAGGCTATGTTTTTAGTATGCAGGATGTGGATCAATATGATCTGATTTTTTAAAAAAAATTAAATCCTTTATTTTAATTACTAACCAGTACTGAGGTATGCCTCTAAGTGTGAACCTTGTAACATGATTGGATGTACTACTGAGCACAACTCAAAGCCCTAAACAGTTCTGGCCCAGCTTATCTGTCTGAACATATCCTCCCCTATGAACCACCTCAGACATTAAGATTGTCTGGGGATGCCCTGCTCTTGGCCCCACCTTCTTCACAAGCTCGTCTGGTGGGAACAAAAGACAGGGCCTTCTCAGTGGTGATCCCTCGGCTGTGGAACTCTCTCCCTAGTAACATCAGATCAGCCCCCTCCTCTTCACCTTCAGAAGGAAAGGGAAAAAAACTGGCTCTGGGACTAGGCTTTCGGAGACTAGTGTAGTGCAATATAGAGTGGATTATGTGCAAGTATTATGGAGTCAGCCTTGGACCACAATCTTTGGATGGTGTGATTATAATACTGAATGTATTTTTTTTAATGAATAACTTGTATTTATTTTAATTCAACTGATTTTTAATGTCTGCATGTGTTGCAAGGCATTGAAAAAATGTCACATGTTAGCCCCCATGAGTCCCCTTCTGGGTAGAGAAAGGCAGGGTATAAATAGGGTAAATAAATAAATAAATAAATCTGTCAACTATATTTATATGAAGCCCATCCACACTGCCATGTATAATGTGCCTTTGTCCTACCCAATCCCTCCTTTCAACCACTGTCAAAAGACTAGGCTAACTCCAGACCTAACTATATTTATATGAAGCCCTGTCTACACTGCCATATATAATCCAGATTATCTGATTTGAACTGGATTGTATGGCAGTCTAGACTTATATAATCCAGTTCAAAGCAGATCATGTGGGTTATCTGATTTGATAATCTGGATTATATGGCAGTGTAGAAGGGGCCTCAGTCTCAGAGGGAAACAGAAGCAAACTTTTCTGAACAAATCTTTTTAGGAAACTACTTAAAATGTGGCTTTTTAAGCAAGTATTTGGGGAGCGAGATGAAATAGTCAAGATAACTTTGGGACTGGTGCAATGTCGAATGTTCTGTGTTTTATGTTTGTCTGTGTTCAATCTTTTATAGGTTCGTGGTTTTAATTCATTGTTATATGCTATTTTAGTTATGGGATATATTTTATATTTTGTGAAGCATTGAATTCTGTCAATTACTTTGTTGTGAACCACTTTGAGTCCCTCCAGGCATTGAGAAAAGAGGTAGGTAAACAAAATAATAAATAAATAAAAGCTATAAAAGTTGTTTCATTTCCTTTTCTTAAAGAGAAAAGTAACTGAATGACACATGAGGAATCTACCAAAAGTCAAGGAGGCAGGAGTGGACAGAATCAAGACCAGATTTCCCAAGCCATAGCTACAATTGTGACCCCAATTTCCTTTGCGTCACTGTTTTGGACCACAACATCCACCTTGTATGGGTAATATCCCGGAATTAGCTCAAAAACCTGGAAGACATCAGATCTCCTACTCCCTTTCTAATAATAATTATGGGCTAAATTGGATCCAGGCTGCTAGGAGCTACAACCCATGACACTTGGATGTATGATTCCCACACCCAGTCTATATATATTACCAGTCTATCCTTCCAGAGCTGAGTCACAGAAGAGGATTGCCAATTTCCTTTATTAACAGGTGCTTTGTTTATTTATTTATTTATTTATTTATTTATTTGTGAAGGGGATTCAGAGTGGCTTACAAGATATATATATATATATATATACACACACACACATACATATACACACACACACACACACAATATATTATATAATTAGCATAGCACAATATCAGTATTATATATTACTATATTGTACTATACCATTATATTGTAATATTATTAGTAATATTACATGTAATATACAATATATAATAATAATATTGATTATTATATTATATTATTATATTATATTAGTATATTATATTATATTATAATGTTAGACCCCATCTACAATCTGGATCAGTATTTCTCAACCTTCCTAATACAGTTCCTCATGTTGTGGTGACATCCAACCATAATACTTATTTTGTTGCTACTTTATAACTGTAATTTTGCTACTGTTATGAATCGTAATGTAAATATCTGATGTGCAATATGTATTTTTATTCACTAAACCAAATTTGGTACAAATACCTGATACGCCAAAATTTGAGTTTGGTGGAGGCTCCTTCTTTGGAAGCTTTTAAACAGAGGCTGGATGGCCATCTGTCAGGGGTGATTTGAATGCAATATTCCTGCTTCGTGTCAGGGGGTTGGACTGGGTGGCCCAGGAGGTCTCTTCCAACTCTTTGATTCTATGATTCTATGATTCTATGAATACTGGGTAGGGTTGTGTGTGTATGTGGGGGGGAGGGGGGGTTGATTCTGTCATTTGGGAGTTGTAGCTGCTGGGATTTATAGTTAACCTTCAATCAAAGAGCACTGTGAACTCTACCAACAAAGGAGTTGAACCACTCTTGGCACACAGAACTCCTGTGACCAGTAGAAAATACTGGAAAGGTCTGATGGGCATTGACCTTGAGTTTGGGAGTTGTAGTTCACCTCCATCCAGAGAGCACTATGGACTCAAACTATGATGGATCTGAACCAAACTTGGCACGAATATTCAATATACCCAAATGTGAACACTGGTGGAGTTTGGGGAAAATAGGCCTAGTCATTTGGGAGTTATAGTTCACCTACAATCAAAGACCATTCTGAACCCCACCAATGATAGAATTGGGCCAAATTTCCCCCACAGAACTGCCATGCCTTGAAGGGACTTGTTGGCGTGAGCCTCCCTCCAGCCTCAAATACTCTCCCTGGCCCCACACATGCACTCCACGCTGCCACAGCCCTCCCCTTGGCTGAGAGGCCGGCCAATCTCAGCAGAGAGGAGCCCCCAGAGTGGAGCAGAGTGGAGCAGTGGGTTAAACTCCTGTGCCGGCAGGACTGAAGACTGACAGGTCGCGGGTTCGAATCCGGGGAGAGCGCGGATGAGCTCTCTCTATCAGCTCCAGCTCCTCATGCAGGGACATGAGAGAAGCCTCCCACAAGGATGGTAAAACATCCGGGCGTCCCCTGGGAAACATCTTGGCAGACAGCCAATTATCTCACACCAGAAGCAACTTACATTTTTCTCAAAAAAAAAAAAATCTCAGCAGAGGAGGGCTTTTGGTGGAAGTATTCCCTTTGTTTCCAAAAAGGAAGAGAAGGAAAGGTGGGGTGATCTTCAGCCTTCTCCGCCAAAAGGATTCCTAAGACCTTCAGAAATATGTGTTTTCTGATGATCTTTGGCGACCCCTCTGACACCCCCTCAGGGGTCCTGACCCCCAGGTTGAGAAATGCTGATCTAGATTATCTGCTTTGAACTAGATTATATGGCAGTGTAGACTCATGTAATTCAGTTCAAAGCAGTTTTGATCATCTGGGTTATGTGGCAGTATGTTGTTCATTTGTTCAGTCGCTTTCGACTCTTCATGACTTCATGGACCAGCCCAGGCCAGAGCTCCCTGTGGGCCGTGGCCACCTCCAGCTCCTTCAAAGTCAATCCAGTCACTTCAAGGATGCCATTCATCCATCTTGCCCTTGGTCGGCCCCTCTTCCTTTTTCCTTCCATTTTCCCAAGCATCATTGCCTTCTCTAAGCTTTCCTGTCTTCTCATGGTGTGGCCAAAGGGACCTAAATCTATTTAGCTATATGAATTAATGCAGTTTGACACCACTTTGGGCCCTTTCAGACAGTCCCTATATCCCAGGATCTGATCCCGGGTTTTCTGTTTATCCCAGATTATCCGGCAGTGCAGACTCATACAACCCAGTTTAAAGCAGAAACCTGGGATTCGATCCTGAGATATAGGGCCTGTCTGGAAGGGGTCTTTAATTGCCATGGGTCAATGCCTTGGAATTCCGGGAGTTGTAGTTCCACAAGTTGTTTAGCCTTCTTGCCAACAAAGAGTGCAGGGTCCTCACCAAACTACAAATCCCATGATCGCAGAGCATTGAGATACGGCTGTTAAAGTAGTGTCAAACTGCATTAATTCGACAGCGTAAATGCACTCAGGAAAAAAAAATAATAGGAGTGTGAGTTTCGGCTTCTCTCGTTTCGGCTATAAATCCTTTCTGGCTTCGTGTGTACGTCTTGGCAAAGGCTTCCTAAAAGTCACGGAGTTCCGGGAACCGCTTTGAATGTCAGTCAGTGTGCGGGAATGAGAAGGGGCTGCTGCAACTCCTTAAGACTGATCGAAGGGGCGAAGGCGACTGCCGCCCCTACAGAAGGCCAGGGTCACTTCGGCTCACGACGCGCTTTCCTTTCGCATCGGGGGCTTCGTTGCTCACGCCTCGTCCTTCCTCAACTCCAGCAAAGCCCCAACGCTGCTTCCTCCGTGCACGGTAAGAAAAGAAAAAGTGGGAGCGAAATGCCTAGAAGGGAATTAAAGTTTGGGAAACACTTCTTTACTTCATGACTGGGAAGTACGCAACCCTGAAGACTGCAGCACCCATCATGGTCTAAACCAGTGTTTCTCAACCTTCCTAATGCCATGACCCCTTAATACAGTTCCTCATTTTGTGGTGACCCCCAACCATAACATTATTTTCATTGCTACTCCATAACTCTCATTTTACTGATGAATCGACATGTAAATATCTGATATTCAGGGTGCGTTTTCATTCACGGGACCAAATGTAGCACAAATACCCGATACGCCCAGATTTGAATACTGGTGGGGTTGGGGGCAGGCCTGTAGCGAGGGGGTGGTTTTAGGGGTTCAACCCCCCCCCCCGAAATGTTTCAGATTTTTTAAAAACCTGGTTTACTCATGAATTTTAACTGGTTAACCAAATCCCCATGCTAAGTCTATGAGATACAAAAAATTAAGAGTCCCTCCAGAACTGCAAGCACCATCTCAGGCAAATATTGACAATTTATTCACACTGTTTGGGACCCGCCTACCTGCGTGACCGCATCTCTGTGTACGAACCCACATCTTCGTACATCTGGAGAGGCCCTACTCACGATCTCACCTGCATCGCAAGTGCAATTGGCGGGGACGAGGAATAGGGCTTTCTCGGTGGTGGCCCCTTGACTCTGGAACTCTCTCCCTAAGGACATCAGGCAAGCCCCAGCCAAGATAACGGCAAGCCCATCCCCCTTCAAACACCTACCCTTTTCACCGGGTCATGCCCAGCACTTTTAAATTTTAATTATTACATTTGGCCCTACCACAGATTTTAATTGCGTCATGGTGTGTTGTTAATGTTATTGCCTTGTTTTTGAGTTATTTTGCTGTATTGTTGTTGTTGTTTTTACCGTTGTATTTGGGCTCGGCCTCTTGTAAGCCGCACTGTGTCCTCCGGGAGATGGTAGCGGGGTACAAATAAAGGATTATTATTATTATTATTATTATTGTCATTGTAGGGTGTGTGTGTTGAATGTTCTCATTAAGGAGGCCAGACTTGGTGGAGGTGGTTGACAGGGGCGAAGCTGCAGGCTATTGAAAGCTGCTCTGCCCCCTGCTGTGCTCTTTGCTTCAGCGTGAGCTAGGAGGCAGGTTTCAACCCACACCCCCCCCCCCCGCCCGAAATTTTCAACCCCCCCCCCTTTAAAATTTCAACCCCTCCCGAAATTTTTTTCTGGCTACAGCCCTGGTTGGGTGGGATTGATTTTGTCATTGAGAGTTGTAGTTGCTGGGATTTATAGTTGACCTACAATCAAAGAGCATTTTGAACTCCACCAACGATGGAATTGAATCAAATTGGCACACAGAACTCCCATGATCAACAGAAAATACTGGAAGAGTATTGGCTTTGAGTTTGGGAGTTGTAGTTCGCCTACATCCAGAGAGCACTGTGTGGACTCAAACAGTGATGGATCTGGATCAAACTTGGCACGAATACGCAATATGCCCAAATGTGAACACTGGTGGACCTTGACATTTGGAAGTTGTAGTTGCTGGGACTTATAGTTCACTTACAATCAAAGAGAACTTTAAACCAGCCCACAATGGATCTGCACCAAACTTGGCACACTACTGACATGGCCAACATTGAATACTGGTGCAGTTGGGAGCTGTTTTTGAATTTTGGGAGTTGTAGTTCACCAAACCAAAAAGGAAGGGGACAGGTGAAGAGATCTTTAACCTTCTCTGCCAAAAGGGTTCCTAAGACCATCAGAAATATGTGCTTTCTGATGGTCTTTGGCAACCCCTCTGAAACCCCCTCAAGACCCCCCCCCCAGGGATCCCTACCCCCAGGTTGACAAACACTGGCCTAAATTATGGTGAGGCTGTTGGAGCTGCAGTCACTTCATATCTTTTCATCATAACCCAGTGGTGCAGTGGATTAAACTGCTGAGTAGCTGAACTTGTTAACTGAAAGGTCAGTGGTTCAAAATCCGAGGAGAGGGGTGAGTTCCTGCTGAGGCCACTAAGAATTCTTGTCTGTTTGAGGCAAGTGTGAATGTTGTAACTTTGTTTAGCATTTAATGGCCTTACAGTTTCAAGGTCTGGTTGCTTCCTGCCTGAGGGAATCCTTTGTTGGGAGGTGATTAGCTAGTCCTGATTGTTTCTTGTCTGGAATTTCCCTGTTTTTAAATGTTGTTCTTTATTTAATGTTTTGATCTTAGAGATTTTTTAAAATGCTGGTAGCCAGATTTTGTTCATTTTCATGGTTTCCTTCATCCTGTTGAGATTGTCCACATGCTTGTGAATTTCAGTGGCTTCTCTGTGTAGTCTGACATGGTGGTTGTTAGAGTGGCCCAGCATTTCTGTGTTCTCAGATAGTATGCTGTGTCCAGGCTGGTTCATTTGCCTCGGTCTTCTCACAAAAAGAAAGTCATCTTCAACCTCAGCAAGATGGAGTGGCTGAGGGATTAGAGGACATCCAACCCCAAATTGGGAAAGAAGTCATCCAGGAATACCTGGCCGCTCTTAATGAGTTCAAGTCCTCAGGGCCAGATCAACTACACCCAAGAGTACTGAAGGAACTAGCGGAAGTCATTTCGGAACCATTGGCAACCATCTTTGAGAGTTCTTGGAGAACGGGAGAAGTTCCAGCAGATTGGAGGAGGGCCAATGTGGTCCCAGTCTTCAAGAAGGGAAAAAAGGATGACCCAAACAATTACCTTTTGGTCAGCCTCAGGCAAGATTCTGGAAAAGATTGTTAAGGAAGTGGTCTGCAAACACTTAGAAAGGAATGCGGTCATCGCTAATAGTCAACATGGATTTATCAAAAACAAGTCATGCCAGACTAATCTGATCTCTTTCTTCGATAGAGCTACAAGCTGGGTAGATGCGGGGAATTCCGTGGATGTAGCGTACCTGGATTTCAGTAAGGCCTTCGACAAGGTCCCCCATGACCTTCTGGCAAGGAAACTAGTCCAATGTGGGCTAGGCAAAACTACGGTGAGGTGGATCTGTAATTGGTTAAGTGGACGAACCAGAGAGTGCTCACTAATGCTTCCTCTTCATCTTGGAAAGAAGTGACAAGTGGAGTGCCGCAGGGTTCCGTCCTGGGCCCGGTCCTGTTCAACATCTTTATTAATGACTTAGATGAAGGGCTAGAAGGCATGATCATCAAGTTTGCAGACGACACCAAATTTGGAGGGATAGCCAATAGTCCAGAGGACAGGAGCAGAATTCAAAACGATCTTGACAGATTAGAGAGATGGGCCAAAACTAACAAAATGAAGTTCAACAGTGACAAATGCAAGATACTCCACTTTGGCAGAAAAATGAAATGCAAAGATACAGAATGGGTGACGCCTGGCTCGAGAGCAGTACGTGAAAAAGATCTTGGAGTCCTCGTGGACAACAAGTTAAACATGAGCCAACAATGTGATGTGGCGGCAAAAAAAGCCAATGGGATTTTGGCCTGCATCAATAGGAGCATAGTGTCTAGATCTAGGGAAGTAATGCTACCCCTCTATTCTGCTTTGGTTAGACCAGACCTGGAATATTGTGTCCAATTCTGGGCACCACAATTCAAGAGAGATATTGACAAGCTGGAATGTGTCCAGAGGAGAGCGGCCAAAATGATCAAGGGTCTGGAGAACAAGCCCTATGAGGAATGGCTTGAGGAGCTGGGCAAGTTTAGCCTGAAGAAGAGAAGGCTGAGAGGAGATATGATAGCCATGTATAAATGAGAGGAAGCCACAGGGAGGAGGGAGCAAGCTTGTTTTCTGCTTCCCTGGAGACTAGGATGCGGAACAATGGCTTCAAACTATAAGAGAGGAGATTCCATCTGAACATGAGGAAGAACTTCCTGACTGTGAGAGCCGTTCAGCAGTGGAACTCTCTGCCCCAGAGTGTGGTGGAGGCTCCTTCTTTGGAAGCTTTTAAACAGAGGCTGGATGGCCATCTGTCAGGGGTGATTTGAATGCAATATTCCTGCTTCTTGGCAGGGGGTTGGACTGGATGGCCCATGAGGTCTCTTCCAACTCTTTGATTATATGATTCTAGGTGCTCTGCTATGGCTGACTTCTCTGGTTGAAGTAGTCTGCAGTGCCTTTCATGTTCCTTGATTCGTGTTTGGGCAATGCTGCATTTGGTGGTCCCTATGTAGACTTGTCCACAGCTGCATGGTATAGGGTAGACTCCTGCAGACGTGAGAAGAATCCTCTTGTCCTTTGCTGAATGTAGCATTTGTTGGATTTTCTTTGTGGGTCTGTAGATCATTTGTTGGTTGTGTTTCTTCATCAGCTTCCCTATGCGGTCAGTGGTTCCCTCCCGCTTATTCCTTTTACCCCTTTCCATCATTTAGTTTGATATTCATGTTGCTTGCCCATTTTTTCCCTCCCCATGTTCCTTAATATCTACTTAGCCTCCTTGAAAAGCTGCCCTTTAACTTTGTTCATTTCCCCTTGCAAGCTATGGCTCAGTGGCTTTGGGGATCCTTCTTTCTGAGGCTGGATCACCACTGCCCTGTAATTCAGTTTCAGAATGTGGATTACCTTGGAGGAGGTGGGGTTCGCACTTGGTGCCCACATGTTCCCCCAACTCCTTGAGCTGTATATCCCAGTCATGCTCTTGGATCTGGGGGACTTGTCATGCCACTACCCCGCTCATACTTATAGTGGAAGCACCCACAGTTATAGCCATGGTGGTGATTGACTGGCCACCCTGTCTGCCAAAGGCTGTGAGGCATCACCATAGGTTGGCGAGGCCTCTGAATGTTGTCCTGCTTGTTTTTGTCAAGGGAATGGGGAATCCTTTCAGAGACACACAGACAAGGAAGGCATCCATGCCCCCTTTTGTTGCTGCCTCCCTTTTAATTTTGCTTGCTTATGTGGAGTGTATAAATCCCCTACCTCCTCCCTCCTAGGTTTGGATCTGCCATTTTGGGTGGTGCCCACAGAGCCTTTTGCCAGTCAGGCTGTTATGGGGATGTTTTCATTATAGAGTTGTGCACTGCTATGGCTTCTCTCCCAAATGCTGTAAAGCAGTGGTTCTCAGCCTGTGGGTCCGCAGGTATTTTGGCCTGTCGTTTATTCATTCAGACTCTTTGTGACTTCATGGACCAGCCCACGCCACAACTCCCTCTTGGCCATCGCTGACAACTCCCAGAAACCCCAGCCAGTTTACCACGTTAGGATTTCAGGGAGTTGAAGGCCAAAACATCTGGCGACCTACAGATTTAGAACCATTGCTGTACAGGAAGGCAATACAAGGGTGAAGATACTTGTTATCTTGAAAAAAAAAGTTGTAGATCACTACTAATATTACTCAAAAAAAGGGAGAGAACAATATATTAATTAAATAGAAACAATATCATACGAAAGCTGACTGGCACAACCTGGGGATCACAACCAGATACTGTGAAGACATCTGCCCTTGCGCTGTGCTACTCTGCTGCTGAGTATGCACGCCCAGTGTGGAACACATCTCACCACACTAAAACAGTGGATGTGGCTCTTAATGAGACATGCCGCATTATCACGGGGTGTCTGCACCCTACACCACTGGAGAAATTACACTGCTTAGCTGGTATTGCACCACCTGACATCTGCCGGGAAGTAGCAGCCAATAGTGAAAGGACCAAGGCAGAGACATCTCCAGCCCATCCCCTGTTTGGGTATCAGCCAGCATGTCAACGACTTAAATCTAGAAATAGTTTTCTAAGATCTACAGAGACACTCACTGGAACACCTCAGCAAGCGAGAGTCCAAAAGTGGCAGGCTCAAACCCAGAACCTCAATCAATGGCTGATACCAAATGAGAGACTCCCTCCTGGGCACACAGAGGACTGGGCGACTTGGAAGGCCCTGAACAGACTGCGCTCTGGCACCACGAGATGCAGAGCCAACCCTCAGAAATGGGGCTACAAAGTGGAATCCTCGACATGCGAGTGTGGAGAAGAGCAAACCACTGACCACCTGCTGCAATGCAACCTGAGCCCTGCCACATGCACCATGGAGGACCTTCTTGCAGCAGACACCAGAAGCACTCCAAGTGGCCAGATACTGGTCAAAGGACATTTAATCAACTACCAAACTCACAAATTTTGTATTTTGTCTGTTTGTTTACTTTGTTCTGTTAGAAATGTAATATAATTGACTGGTTGCCCTGACACGACAAATAAATAAATAAATAAAATAAGAAAATACATTAATTAATTATTAATAAATTATTAACAATAATAAAATAATAGTAGTAGTAATAATAGAAATTTAAGATCATCTGGGGATGCCCTGCTCTTGATCCTGCCTTCTTCGCAAACATGCATGGCAGGGAACGAGAGATAGGGCCTTCTCAGTGGTGGCCCCTCGGCTGTGGAACTCCGTCCCTAGGGATATTAGATCAGCCCCTCCCTCCTGACTTTCTGAAAAAAGTAAAAACCTGGCTCTTTGGACATGCCTTTGGAAATGCAGCATTATAAATAAACATGGAACTATGAAAGAGTGAAACATGGAACAGCTTAGGCAATGCTACTGGAAAATGAGATCAACAGAAAGACATTGGTGATTATATGTTTTCATGGTTTTTGTATGTATTTTTATAATGTTTTAAATGTTTTAATTGTAGTGTATGGTTATTATGGCATTGAATTGCTGCCAATTTGGAAGCCACCTTGAGTCGCCTTTGGGCTGAAAAAGGCAGAATAGAAATATCGTAAATAAATAAATAAATAAATAATCATAATCTGAGGAAGAAGAAGAGAAACTTTTGAAGTGATATGTGGGCATCATATATTGTTTAGTTTTATGCTAAGCAGATTGGCTATGGTTGGTACTTGGATGGGAGACCATCGACAAATACACTGTGTTTCAAACCATGTATTTCAGGAGTGGCAGCAGCAGTCTATTTCAAGCTGTTTGAGTCTATAATAATAATAATAATAATAATAATAATAATAATAATAATAATAATAATACTTTATTTATATTCTGCTCTATATCCCCAAAGGAACTTAGAGTGGATTACACATAGCAGAGTTATTTGAGAAATTTTGCTAAACTGGCTAAAACAAGGTTGGCTTGTGAAGGGAAGTGTGCAGGGACTTCAGATTATATCAAGCAAAAGTACAGATCAAAATGCAGAGCAACATGTGGCCCCTCTCACTTTGGATCAAGTTGGATATATTCCCAGTCTGGTTCCCATGCACTCAATAAAGGTCAGAGACTTGTTTGAGCAAATGTTGAATCAACCTGACTTTAACCATTTTGCTTTGCAGCATGGCTCCCAAGAAGAACACAGGCGCCCCTAAGAGAAAGGACCCAGCCAAGAAGATGCTAGGTAAGAGCCCTTCCCCCAAGGCAATGTCTTTGGATGATGACGACAGCGACAGCACGGACTCATCCACATGCAATATGGAACGTGAGCCTGCTTTAGAATGCCAAAAGGGCCCAGCCCTTATGTCAACAGCCACTATCATAACAAAAGGTATGTGATGCTGTGCTTGGAATTTACCTGTTCCTTGCAAATTTCAGCATTTTTCTCCATCTGCAGGGGGCTCACACTGTCAAGAATTGCTCCAAGGGGCACCCTCTCAAAACCAGCTCAAAAGAAAACAACACAGTTAAACAATTCCCTGGGGCCACTAAGCTTCCCAAAGGGCCCCAAGCCCAATTAAACCCCTACAATTTGCCTGCTAGTTGGTAAATTATCCTGATGTCATAGTGGCTAACTGTGCTCCCCCAGGTGTTTTGGATTTCAGATCCCAGAAATCCCAGCCAGCTTACCGGTTGTTAGGAATTGTGGGAGTTGAAGCCCAAAACATCTGGAAGAGCACAATTTGAGGAACTCTGATTTAAGGGATAGTTTTCAGTTTGGTTTTCAGATTCCCTGCAACGGAAAATATAAACCTTGCATGGCTCTGAATGTATAGTCCATATGGGGCAAAGAGTATATCATTAGGTCTAAGATTAGTAAGAAGGTAAAAGAGTAGAGCTGTGCAAAAATTTGGGCATGTGTCGTAAGTTGTGTTTTCGTAAATCCTTACTTATGACCAGAGCCACACCCCCATCAAACGTGGTCCAGCATTTCTGTGTTCTCAAATAATATGCTGTGTCCAGGCTGGTTCATCAGGTGCTCTGCTATGGCTGACTTCTCTGGTTGAAGTAGTCTGCAGTGCCTTTCATGTTCCTTAATTCGTGTTTGGGCAATGCTGCGTTTGGTGGTCCCTATGTAGACTTGTCCACAGCTGCATGGTATATGGTAGACTCCTGCAAGGTGAGAGGATCCCTCTTGTCCTTTGCTGAACGTAGCATTTGTTGGATTTTCTTGGTGGGTTTGTAGATTGTTTGTATGTTGTGTTTCCTCATCAGCTTCCCTATGCGATCAGTGGTTCCCTTGATGTATGGCAGGAACACTTTTCCTCTGGGTGGATCTTCATCTTTACTCTCGTGGCTTGTTCTTGGTCTTGCAGCTCTTCTGATGTCTGAGGTGGAGTATCCATTGGCCTGGAGAGCCCAGTTGAGGTGGTTCAGTTCATCTTGGAAGCTGCAGACTACTTCAACTAGAGAAGTCAGCCATAGCAGAGCACCTGAGGAACCATCCTGGACACAGCATATTATTGGAGAACACAGAAATGCTTAACCACACTAACAACCACCATGTCAGACTACACAGAGAAGCCACTGAAATCCACAAGCATGTGGACAATTTCAACAGAAAGGAAGAGACCATGAAAATGAACAAAATCTGGCTACCAGTGTTTAAAAAACTCTAAAATTACAACAGCAAAACAGCAGAGAGGAAACAACCAGGCACATCTGAACACCACTCAACAAAAGATTTTCTCAGGCTCAGCCAGGCCTTCAAATGCTAATGAAGGTGGTCAGTTGAAACATTCACACCTAGCTCCACAGAGAAGAGCTCTTTGCCCCACCCCAGCCATTCCACAGATATATAAACCCATTGTCCTAATTCCAACAGACCTCACTACCTCTGAGGATGCTTGCCATAGATGCAGGCGAAACGTCAGGAGAAATGCCTCTAGAACATGGCCCTATAGCCCGAAAAAACCCACAAGAACCTAGATAATAAATCAGCCGTGTTTATCTCTTCTTGATATTCAAAGACTCCATCTTTAAGGCATGAGGTATCTTAAAACAGTTCAAACAAACACCATAAATCTGCTACCGAAGAGAGTGGTTCATTTTGCTTTATTTACACAAAGTATATATAGTACAGCTTTAAAACACATCTGCACTAGATCACATCATGGCAAGAAGAAAAAAAAACATGCTTTTGCCTTCTCTTCCTTTTGACACCGGAAACCACACAGCTTACATTCCTTTAATATTAGTCATCTCTATTGCATAACTACTGTTACTTCTCTTCTCATGCAGTTTAAACTAAATGATATTTTCACTCAAACATCAAAAACAGTGGCACAAAATACAGAATTTTGAATTTGAAACAAGACAGACCCCTCAAGATAGTTTTAAAACACTTATGAAATGAAACAAGGAGCATACAAAATTCACATTTCAAAATAAAATGGATTTTCGGCATTTCGCACACCTCCTTAAGAGAGGCAGAATGTGACCAATCTCTCTGCCTCCTCTTTCTAGTTTCAGGGTCTTTGTCCTTGGAGTAGTGCCCAAAAAGGCACCAGGTGAGTTTCATCTGATCCACCATTTATATTATCCTAAGGGGGAGTCTAAGGTCACAGGTTCGAATCCAGGGAGTGGCATAAGCTCCAGCTGTTAGCCCCAGCTTCTGCCAACTTAGCAGTTTGAAAAGATGCAAATGTGAGTAGATCAATAGGTACTGCTCCGGTGAGAAGGTAATGGCACTCCATGCAGTCATGCCGGCCACATGACCTTGGAAGTGTCTACGAACAATGCCGGCTCTTTGACTTAGAAATGGAGTTGAGCACCAACTCCCAGAGTCGGACTTAATGCCAGGGGAAAACCTTTACCTTTTATCTTAAGGGGGAGTCTGTTAGTGGCATAATTCCTGATGAGTTATGCACAGTTCACTAAACATCTTTCAGTTCTGCCATCAAGCAAGTCAGATGCTAAGGCAGAATTAGCAAACTGTGATATAAAGTCAGCATTTCACCTACTGTCAGTTCATCCCAATGAATTTGAACTCTTGAATTTTCCATTTGAGGGCTCTTTCTATATGGATAGGGGTTTTTCCAATGGGTTGTCCTATCTTTTGTTGTACATTTGAGTTCTTCATCACTTTTCTTGAATGGGCCCTCACGAACCCAAAACACCTGGACAATTCCTAACAACTGGGAGCTGAAGTCCAAAACACCTGAACGGCCCAAGTTTGCCCATACCTGTTCCAGATCATCGGAAGTGCCCCTCTATTCTGCTTTGGTCAGACCTTACTTGGAATCACACTGGATTCAATTTTGGGCACCACAATTCAAGTGGGATATTGACAAGTTAGAATGTGTCTGGGTGGGGGCTACTAAAATTATCAAAGGTCTGGAAACCATGAGTCCCTATAACAGTGGTTCTCAACCTATGGTTCCCCAGCTGTTTTAGTCTTCAACTCTCAGAAATCCTAACAGATGGTAAACTGGCTGCGATTTCTGGGAGTTGTAGGCCAAAATACCCGATGTCGCGCACCACTGCCCTATAAGAAGAGGCTTATTTATTATTTATTTATTTAAAAGTTTTGTATACCGACCTTCTCACCTCTATTGAGGGACTCAGACCGGCTTAAAGAGTTGGGTATTTTTAGTCTGCAGAATTGAAGTCTGAGAGGAGATAGGATAACCATGTTTAAATATTTTAAATAATGTCTTAAGGAAGAAGGAGCAGGTTTGTTTTCTGCTGCCCTGGAGAAAAGAACTAAGAGCAATGGTTCAACAAGAAAGGAGATTCCACATTAGGAAGAACTTCCTGACTGTAAGAGCTATTCAAAATTGGAACTCTCTGCCTTAGGCTCCTTCCACACAGCTGAATAAAATCTCACATTTTCTGTTTTGAACTGGAATATATTGTACTGTGGAGTCAGATAGGTTAGGTAAAGGTTTTCCCCTGACATTAAGTCCAGTTGTGTTTGACTCTGGGATTGCAATCCTGAAAGCTGCTTTCCTAATAGGCTGCCCTAGGAGCAACTCGATTAAAGTGTGGTTTCTCTCAGGGGACTCAGCTGTTTCCACCTGAGAGAGCCTGGAAGGAGATCTGGAAAAGACCAACTGCCTTAGCATATCTTGCATCAAGTTGATCTCTCTTTAGTTAACTTAGTTAACTTAGTGCAATCCATGAAGAAAGTTTTAAATTTAATAAAATTGCCCTTATGTAACCCATATGGTTGTTTAGTCTTCTTATTTTGTTGGTTGGTGAGCAATTCATAATCTGAAATCATGTCAAATTACAATTTTGGAGGAAAAGGATTTTGTTTTAAACTTAAGAGTACATTGTTAGTGCAAGGATTTTCGGATTTGTTAATGGAGATGACAATTATTTTTATTTATTTTCCCCCTTGCAATATAGATGACTTTTTAAAGGTAATGGTGGGAGCTGTTGGAGTTTTTCTTGCAATTGTCATTGCCTTCCTTTATCTAGATGGTAAGTTGCCCAGTTTTTGTGGTTTCTATAGCTTAAAATTTGTCTTCACTCTTGGATCCCATGTAATTGCTTTTCCTTAATCTGTCAGACAGAATGTAACTGTGTTCCTTAGTTCAACATTGGCATGAAAACCCAGACTCAATGTGAGTTGGCTCCTGGTTGTCTTCATGACATTTCAATACTTTTTGTGAATATTGTGGGCTATCCTTGATTGATCCAGTTTTCTCCACATCAGGCAAAGTTGAGAATGCTCCAGAATGTGTTTGAAAATAGGGAGTATCCTGCAGCTTTGAGATAATATGGACAGCTGGATCAGGTCCAATCGAGACCAATCTATTTTACATGGGGGACATTGTACATCTTTTTCCTCAGGGCAAATTACAGTGCACATATACATGGCAAATATTTAATGCCGTAGACACTAAGGCTGGGCGGTTTCGTTTCGTTAATTCGTAATTCGTTAATAATTCGTTAATTTTTTTAATTACAAAATGATAACGAACCATTCTGGAGCAATTTTTTAAAAAACGAATTTTTAAATAGTTTTGTAAATGCTTCGTATTTCGTTATTGTATTCATTTCGTTATTGTTTTGAGGTCGTTTCGTTATTATTTCCGCATGTCTGGGGCAAGTTTTATGGTTGTTTTTTGTTTAATTAGTGAAAAAAAATTATAATATCACACCAACAGTCAACAACAGAGGGAGAGGGAAGCTTCAGAAGTTTTTGGAGGTTTTTTAGCGTATTTCGCGGTCGCGTCCGCCATTAACGAATCGATTCGTTATTGTTTTGGAAATCAATTCGTTAATGTTTTGTAATTTTTTTCACATTTATGAAATTTCGTAAATATCGAACTTTTTAAAAGGAAAATTTTGTAATTATTTTAAATAACAAAACGCAACACCCCCCAAAAAACGAATCGATTTTAGAAACAAATTTTTCCGTTGTTACCCAGGCCTAGTAGACACACAACCTATATAGACAAACACACAGGCAATTTAAGCTTCATGAGGGTATGTTCGAATTCCAGCCACCGGGGGAGCTGTCGCTTCATGGTCCACTTGTAGCGCCGAGTCCTTGATGGAGTACTTCCTCATTCTTTTGCCCGCTGCTGGATATTTTTATGCCGTCATAAATTAGTTAAATTAGCCTCCCCACACAAGCGGTACCTAAATTTCCTACTTGACAGATGCAACTGTCTTTCGGGCTGCAAAGGTTGATAGCAAGCTAGACAAATGGTTGGGAGCTTACTCAAACCCGGCTGTCTTTGAACTCATGACCTTTCAGTCAGTGGTGATTTAATGCAGCTGATTCCTAGCTAACTACCCCACAACCCAGCCAATCCACAGATGCAAGTGAAACATGAGGAGAAAATGCTTCTACAACACAGCCATATGGCTCAGAAACCACACAACACCCCAGTGATTCCGGCCATGAAAACCTTCAACAATACATTTCAGTCTTGTATAGCAGTGTGTTAGGAAGTGGATAATCTAACACCTGTTGCCTTTTTCAGCATTAGCATCGTATCAATGTCAGAAGCAGCAACTATCTGGCCCAGCCTGTCCATGTGATTGGATTGGGTATCGTGGAAGATGCTACTTCTTTTCAACAGAAGCAAGAAATTGGACTTCCAGCCAGAACTTCTGTTTATCAGAGGATGCCCACCTGCTCAATTTCAATCTTACCCAAGAAAAGGTAAGAGGCCTAAACAGAGTTCATCTGCATCCACATTGTGCCTTCTATGGAGTAATAAGAATAATAATAAATTTTATTTATACCCCTTCACAATCTCCCCCAAAGGAAATCGGGGTGGTGCACAAAGCACTCTGAATAAAAAAAATTAAAATTTAAAGTAATAAATCTGGCCAAGTTGAGCTATGTGCCAGCATCAAATTGTGACATCTTCTGGTTGTCATACTAGACCTTGAGTGATCTGGTGATCTAACCCCAGGAAAGGGAATTTGGTATCCCTTCATACTATTTTAGGACTGTGGCTGCCAGCCTAGCCTATGATGAGTAATGCTATAAGTTGTCATCCAACTGCACATGGAAGGCCATTTGGAATTGATTACAATGTTCTGTCTAAAAATTTCTAGATCAGCGTTTCTCAACCTGGGGGTCGGGACCCTGGGGGGGTTGCGAAGGGGGTATCAGAGGGGTTGCCAGAGACCATCAGAAAACACAGTATTTTTTGTTGGTCATTAGGTTTCTGTGTGGGAAGTTTGGCCTAATTCTATAGTTGGTGGGGTTCAGAATACTCTTTGATTGTAGGTGAACTATAAATCCCAACATGTACAACTTCCAAATATCAAGGTCTATTTTCCCCAAACTCCACCAGTGTTCACATTTGGGTACACTGAGTATTTGTGCCAAGTTTGGTCCAGATCCATCATTGTTTGAGTCCACACTGATCTCTGGATGTAGGTGAACTACAGCTCCAAAACTCAAGGTCAATGCCCACCAAACTCTTCCAGTATTTCCTGTTGGTTGTGGGAGTTCTGTGTGCCAAGGTTGGTTCAATGCCATCGTTGGTGGGGTTCAGAATGCTCTTTGACTGTAGGTGAACTATAAATCCCAGCAACTGCAACTCCCAAATGACAAAATCAACCCCGCAACCCCACCAGTATTCAAATTTGAGCATATTTGGTATTTGTGCCAAATTTGGTCCAGTGAATGAAAATACATCCTGCATATCAGATATTTACATTACGATTCATAACAGTAGCAAAATACAGTCATGAAGTAGCAACAAAAATAATGGTATGGTTAGGGGTCACCACAACATGAGGAACTGTGTTAAGGGGTCACAGCATTAGGAAGGTTGAGACTTACTTACTTAGGCGATCCCTCGTTGGACGAGTAAGATGGTCTTCCATTATGGATTTCCTTGTGGGTCCGTATGTGGCTGTGGAGCCCTATTCTTGCTCTGCATCTTCTTCCGCAGTGAGGAGGGCATTGGTTTCCAGGTGGAAGGCGGTCCCGGTCGGGGTTGGCTTGACGCGCTTTCCTCCTGGCACGTTTCTCTCTTTCACCCTCCACTCGTGCCTCCTCAAATTCTGCAGCACTGCTGGTCACAGCTGTCCTCCAGCTGGAGCGCTCAAGGGCCAGAGCTTCCCAGTTCTCAGTGTCTATGCCAGAGTTTTTAAGGTTGGCTTTGAGCCCATCTTTAAATCTCTTTTCCTGCCCACCAACATTCCGTTTTCCGTTCTTAAGTTCGGAGTAGAGCAACTGCTTTGGGAGACGGTGGTCAGGCATCCGGACAACGTGGCCGGCCCAGCGGAGTTGATGTTGGAGGACCATCGCTTCAATGCTGGTGGTCTTTGCTTCTTCCAGCACACTGACGTTTGTCCGCTTGTCTTCCCAGGAGATTTGCAGGATTTTCCGGAGGCAGCGCTGATGGAAAGTTCCAGGAGCTGCATGTGACGTCTGTAGACAGTCCACGTCTCACAGGCATATAGCAGGGTTGGGAGGACAATAGCTTTATAGACAAGCACCTTGGTCTCCCTACGGATGTCCCGGTCCTCAAACACTCTGCTTCATTCTGGAAAATGCTGCACTTGCAGAGCTCAGGCGGTGTTGTATTTCAGCGTCGATGTTGACTTTGGTGGAGAGGTGGCTGCCAAGGTAGCGGAAATGGTCCACATTTTCTAATGTTACACCATTAAGCTGTATTACTGGCATTGGAGAGGGATTGGCTGGTGACTGCTGGAACAGCACCTTGGTTTTCTCAATGTTCAGTGACAGGCCGAGCTTCTCGTATGCTTCTGCGAAGGTGTTTAGAGTGGCTTGTAGATCTTCTTCTGAATGCGCACAGACGACATTGTCATCAGCATACTGGAGTTCTATAACAGATGTTGTTGTAACCTTGGTTTTGGCTTTCAGTCTGCTGAGGTTGAATAGCTTGCCATCTGTCCGATAGATTATTTCCACTCCGGTGGGAAGCTTCCCATCAACAAGGTGAAGTATCATAGCGATGAAGATGGAGAATAGAGTTGGGGCAATAACACATCCCTGTTTGACACCGGATTCCACTTTAAATGGGTCACTTTGGGAGCCATTGCTGTCCAAGACTGTTGCCATCATGTCATCATGGAGGAGCCGCAGGATGTTCACAAATTTGTTAGGGCACCCGATTTTTTGGAGGATGGTCCAGAGAGCGCTGCGATTCACTGTGTCGAATGCCTTTGCAAGGTCGATGAATGCCATGTACAGAGGTTGGTTTTGTTCCCTGCATTTTTCTTGGAGCTGTCGTGCAGTGAAGATCATGTCCATGGTTCCTCTGGAGGAGCAGAAGCCATTCTGGGATTCTGGGAGGGTGTCTTCTGAGAGGGGCAGAAGGCGGTTTGCAAGGATTCTTGCGAGGATTTTCCCAGCGGAGGTTAGAAGGGAGATACCTCGATAGTTTCCGCAGTCTGTTCTTTCCCCTTTTTTGAAGAGGGTGATGATGGTGGCATCCTTGAAATCTGCTGGGATTTTCTCGGTCACCCACACTTTTTCTATGAGCTGGTGGAGTTGTGTGTCAGCTCAGGTCCTCCCTCTTTAAAGATTTCAGCAGGGATCCCATCTGGTCCGCTGGCTTTGTTATTCTTCTGTTGGCTGATGGCATTGCTGACTTCTTCCAAACTAGCCAGTGCTGCAAGCTCATCCCTGGTTTGTTGTTGTGGGATTTGTGAGAGGACCTCTTCGGCCACATTGGAGCTGCGGTTCAGGAGGCTTTGGTAGTGTTCTTTCCAACGTAGTGCAATTGAGTTTTGGTCCTTCAGGAGTTTGGTTCCATCTGATGGGCGTAGAGGCTGTATGCCATGGTTTCTTGGTCCGTAGATGACCTTTGTGGCTTTGAAAAATCCCTGAGCATTATGGGTATCTGCCAGGTGTTGGATTTCTTTGGCCTTCTTTGTCCACCAGATGTTCTTGAGTTCTCTTGTCCTTCTTTGGACCTCAGCTTTTGCACTGGCATAGATCTTTTTCTTAGCAGCACAGTTGATGTCTCTCTGCCATGCTTGGAAGGCTTTCCTTTTCTTGTCAATTAGCTGTTGGATCTCGATGTCATTTTCATCAAACCAGTCTTGATGTTTCTTGGCTTGGTATCCAATAGTTTCTTCGCAGGCTTGGATGATGGAGGTCTTCAGTTTGTTCCAATGTTCCTCGACATTTTCGGGGTGTACTGTGGGTAGATGGTCCTTGAGTGCTGTTTGGAGATGGGCTCGTCTGGAGGGCTCCTGAAGGGCTTGGGTGTTCATTTTGCGCCTTGCCTTCCTTCCTTGGAGTCTGCGCTTGGGAGCGATCTTGATAGCCATCGAGGATCGAATTAGCCTGTGGTCAGTCCAGCAGTCGTCAGCACCTGTCATGGCTCTTGTGAGGAGCACGTCACGGCGGTCTCTGGCGCGTGTGATTACATAGTCTAAGAGGTGCCAATGCTTTGACCGGGGGTGCTTCCATGATGTCTTGAACTTGTTTTTCTGGCGGAAGAGCGTGTTGGTGATGACAAGGTTGTGCTCCGCACATTTGGTGAGAAGCAGGATGCCATTTGAGTTGCTGTTTCCAACCCCGTCTTTTCCTATGGTCCCTGGCCACAGGTCGAAGTCTCGCCCGACTCTTGCATTGAAGTCCCCCAGGAGGATGATTTTGTCCTCCTTAGGTATCCCCGATAGGACGGTGTCCAGCTGACAGTAGAATTTCTCCTTGATGTCTTCGTCAGCATCTAGTGTTGGTGCATAGGCACTTATGATGGTTGCCCGTTGGTTTTTGGCAAGATCGATTCGGAGGGTTGAGAGTCATTCGTTGATGCCAGTGGGTGCTTCGGACAGATGTTTCATCAGATCATTTCTGATGGCGAAGCCAACTCCGTGCATTCTTTGGTCTTTTTCGGGCAGTCCCTTCCAGAAGAAGGTGTAGCCTCCTTTTTCTTCCTTCAGCTGTCCCTCTCCTGCTCTCCGGGCCTCCTGAAGGGCTGCTATGTCGATGTTGAAGCTTCCCAGCTCCCTTGCAATGATAGCAGTTCTGCGTTCGGGGCGTTCACTGTCAGTGTTGTCCATCAGTGTTCGTACGTTCCATGTTCCAAAGTTCATTTTTCTTTTTTGGCCGCAGGGTGGTGACCCCACTGGACGTGGCAGTCCAGTCAGGGATAAGAGAGGCAGACTATGTTTAGGGCACCTTTTCTAGCCCCCTCCCCATGTGGGGTGAGCAGAGTGGGTCCTCAATAGGGCTGCTCAGTCGGATACAGCTGCCGAACTACTCAACTGCCTCGGACCTTGAGGTAGAACGACTGAGTCCGTACCCACCGCCTCATGTGCCAGTCTGTGACTAGGGGCTTCCAGATTTCACAGTCCTGCCCCCGTCGCCACTCGCTGATCGCCATGGGGCTTTGGTTGGTTTGTTTTTATTTTCTTTGGAAGACGCCTGTGCGTGGGTTTTTTTAATGTGTGGAGGTCAGTGCACAACTGATCAACACACAGACTTCACAGAGTGAGGTTCCACTGGTGATGTAGTTTAACACAATGACCGTGGCTTCTCAGTCTGTTGCAGCCTTCTTCCGCCTTCGCAGCCGTTGTAACATGTACCATGTTATCCTCCGCCTGCTCCGCCGTTGAGGTCTTTGGGTCTTCGGACTGTGCTTGGTCTGGAACCTCCCCCGCGGCCACTCCTGGGAGTGCACGACTCCAGTTGTTGTGCCTACAGGTTCATCGGAACGCGCAAGCCTCCTCACCACGACAAGGTGACAGTCCATCGAGGGGGAAGGTTGAGAACCACTGTTCTAGATCCTCCAGTGCAATTCTGGCAAAAACCGACCATAGAGTTGGGCTGGAAGAGTCAGATATTCTTAGAGATGTTCTCTCAGATACAACAAACAGTGTTACTTTATTCAGTTTTTCTACTGTTGTGGAGGTCCTGCACTGCTAACCCCCCAAAATGTAGAGGGCTCACTGTAATTTGAAAAGATACGACGTCTTGAAGACAGTGAGAACAGCAATATAAAGACAAGCCATTAGAGACCTCAACTCAGATCCCAACATCATCATTCTCCCAGCAGACAAGGGGAATGCCACAGTAATCATGGATACAGAACAATACAAGGAGAAGATCAGAAAACTCCTGGACCCTACTATATACAGAAAACTTAAACAAGACCCAACTTCCAAAATAACCAAGAAAACCAACACTCTGATTAAGAACTCCTCAATCAACTTTGACATGCAACAGCTATGTAATTCGGAAGCCCTTCCACTTAGGCTCTATGGACTCCCAAAAATCCATAAGGACTCCACCCCACTCAGACCCATCGTGAATGCCATTGGATCCCCCATGTACGACTTAGCAAAATTTCTTGCTGCACAGTTACAAAGCCATATTGGGCTCACTACACACTACATCAAGGACTCAGCCCACTTCATAGAAAAAATCAGCAATCTCAAGCTAAATACCAATGACAAACTGATCAGCTTTGATGTGGTATCTCTATTTACCATGGTCCCAGTAGCAGACACCATGGCATTCATCAACCAGAGGTTCCCAGAAGACATCACAGCTCTGTTTCACCATTGCTACACCACCAGCTACTTTCAGTGGGACAATGAATTCTATGAACAGAAAGATGGAGTAGCTATGGGGAGCCCTCTCAGCCCGGTCATAGCTAACTTCTACATGGAACACTTTGAAAAACAAGCCCTGGAGACAGCAACCAAAAAGCCCAGTATATGGTTCAGATATGTGGATGACACCAGGCATGTAGCCGGGGGGGGGCCTTGAAACCCCCCCCCCCGCCCGAAATTCTCATGGTGGTTCGCGAAAATGCCTTACTGGTGCATTATTTAAACTGTTATGTTTATTCATATCATGATCTGATCACCATACTCAATATATCCCATATGCATGGGGGTATTGGGGTAACGATACAAAAGGTTTGCTAAGGTAGACCTTCTTTCACTCAGACTCAGCCCCCCCAAACTCAGCCCCCCATGAAACCCCCCCTGAAAAAACTCCCCCCCCCCCCCCCCGAATCGAAATCCTGGATGACACTTTCACCATTTGGAGCCATGGGGAAGAAGAACTCAACAGGTCCCTGGACCATCTAACAGCATCCACCCAAACATCCAGTTCACCATGGAAAAAGAAAATGAAGGAAGACTGCCTTTGCTAGATGTCCTAGTCATCCGCAAACCAGATCAACAATTGGGTCACACCGCTAAGGAAAATCTTTCCTTAGCACCATTAAAGCCTTGGCAGACCGTGCAAAAAGAATCTGCGAACCCCACCTCCTCCAAGATGAACTGAACCACCTCAACTGGGCTCTACAGGCCAATGGATACTCCACCTCAGACATCAGAAGAGCTGCAAGACCAAGAACAAGCCACGAGAGTCAAGATGAAGATCCACCCAGAGGAAAAGTGTTCCTGCCATACATCAAGGGAACCACTGACCGCATAGGGAAGCTGATGAGGAAACACAACATACAAACCACCTACAACCCACCAAGAAAATCCAACAAATGCTACGTTCAGCAAAGGACAAGAGGGTCCATCTCCTTCTGCAGGAGTCTACCTGTACCATGCAGCTGTGGACAAGTCTACAGGGACCACCAACAGCAGCATTGCCCAAACAAATCAAGGAACATGAAAGGCACTGCAGACTAGTCAACAGAGAAGTCAGCCATAGCAGAGCACCTGATGAACCAGCCTGGACACAGCATATTATTTGAGAACACAGAAATGCTGGACCACTCTCACAACCACCATGTCAGACTACACAGAGAAGCCATTGAAATCCACAAGCATGTGGACAATTTCAACAGAAAGGAAGAAACCATGAAAATGAACAAAATCTGGCTACCAGAATTTAAAAAACTCAAAAATTACAACAGCAAAACAACAGAGAGTAAACAATCAGGCACATCAGATCACCTCTCTACAAGAGTTTCCCACAGGCATTTCCAGGCCTTCAAATGCTAATGAAGGTGGTCAGTTGAAACATTCACACCCATCTCCAGCAGACAAAAGTCCTTTGTCCCACCCTGGTCATTCCACAGATATATAAACCCATTTTCCTACTTCCAACAGACCTCACTAGATCTGAGGATGCTTGGTTCAGAAAAAAAATTCCTGGGTTGTTATAGGTTTTTTCGGGCTCTATAGCCATGTTCTAGACGCATTCTCTCCTGACGTTTCACCTGCATCTATGGCAAGCATCCTCTGAGGATGCTTGCCATAGATGCAGATGAAACGTCAGGAGAAAATGCCTCTACAACATGGTCATATAGCCCGGAAAAACCTACAACAACCCAGTGATTCCAGCCATGAAAGCCTTCGACAACAGCAATATACTTGGGGGGTATTGCATCCCAAAGTCAACACCTGATAAAGTATTAAAGAGCTTGTAAAATTTTACAGAGTGCTACATAACAAATATTGCATGAATATTGGAAGTCTGTTCTGTTAACAACAATGCTGTCTCATTTTAAAGGAGTTTGTGATGCGTTACAGAAGCAAAACCTTATTTTGGATTGGCCTCAGCCGAGACCCAGGCCAGCCCTGGAAATGGACAAAAGGAGAAACTGCCAAGTAAGTCATCTTCTTTCAGAGTCCAGTAACTAAACTATTAAATTTCTAACAGCAATGCCATTCACAAAGAATAGGGCTCCACAGCCACATACGGACCCACAAGATTATTGGAAGACAATCCTCCTCATCCAACGAGGGATCACCTAAGTAAGTAAAGTCACAAATATGCTAATAAAATATGGGCTAGATACAATGCTACTGTTAGCTGGATTGGGAATTAGTTGATTGGAGGAATCCTAAACGTGTTTGCTATGGTTCCTCCTCATCCAGGAGAGAAGTGGCCAGTGGGATTTCACAAAAGTCTGTCCTATGTCCAGTGCTATTCAACATGTCTATTGATGTCTTGGACAATGGAATAGAAGGCATGCTTATTAAACCTGCAGATGGCACCAAATTGGGAGGGATGGCTAATATCCCAGAGGACAGGATCAGAATCCAGAATGCCTTTAACAGATTAAAGCCAAAACTAAAAATGAACGTCAATAGGGAACAGTACTATACTTTGGCAATAAAAAACATATGCACAGATTTAGAATGGGTGACAACTGGCTCAACAGCAATACACGCCAAAGGGATCTAGGAGTTTCAGTAGACTACAAGCTGCACGTTGAGTCAACAGTGTTATGTGAAAGCTAAAAAGGTCAATGTGAACCTAAGCTGCACCAATAAGAGTATAGTGTCAATTTCAAAGGAAGCCATAATCCCACTGAATTTTGCTTTAGTCAAACCTCAGCTTGAATACTGTGTCCAGTTCTGGGCACTACAATTCAAGAAATATAGTAATAAACTGGAACATGTCCAGAGAAGGGCAACCAAAATTATCAAAAGTTTGGAAGCCAAATCCTCAGAGAACCAGTTTAGGGAGCTGGGTATGTTTAGATTGGAGAAAAAAGGCTGAGAGAATACATGATACCCATTTTAAAATAGTTTTTATTTATTTGTTTGTTTGTTTGTTTGTTTGCTTATTTATTTATTTACCGTATTTATATACCGCCTTTCTCAGCCTGAAGGCGACTCAAGGCGGTTTACATTCGGAACAATTCAATGCCTCCCAATATGTAAAGTACAATTAAAAACATAGCATATAAAATATAGGTTCATAAAAAGTCAATCCTTGGTGTCTCCTTACTGAAATCACTATTTAATCGCATCATCAGTTGTTCATTGCCTGTTACATTGCATTTGCAAATACCTGCTCAAAAAGCCAGGTTTTAAACTTTTTGCAAAATGTTAAGAGGAAGGGGGGGCAATCTAATATCCCTAGGAAGGGCGTTCCACAGCTGAGGGGCCACCACTGAGAAGGCCCTGTCTCTCATTCCCGCCAAATGCATCTGAGATGGAGGCGGGACCGAGAGAAGGGCCTCCCCGGATGATCTAAGAGTCCTAGATGGTTCATAAAGGGAGATTCATTCGGACAGGTAAGCCGGAAATGTTTAGGGCTTTATAGTTGAAAGGATGTCACATTGAAGAGGAGATAAGCTTGTTTTCTGCAGCTGTATGTTCCTGTATGGCAGGGGCTTAGACTGGGTGGCCCTGTGGTCTCTTCCAATTCTATGATTCTATGAAAGGAATGGCTTTACCATTGTTTAAAATATAGTATTCTACAATATCTAGTCCCAGTTAGAGTAGACCCATAGAATCAGTTGCTATTGGGGAAATCCAATAGTTCTGAAGTAGAAGTGGAACTTTCTCCATTTTTTCAAGTACCAATTGAACTGTTTTTATTTTTCCTCTTGAACTACTCTCTCTAGTTGTGAAAAACATGTTTCTGGAAGCTAGATGGGGAGAATTAGTTGGCAAAGCCCATACAACCTCTTAATGTTTCATGGAAATCTAAGTACAAGTTGGACTTCTAAGTTTCAGTATCACTGCCTATTTAACTGATTTTTATCCATCAAGTACCTGAAGGGATTTGGGATTTTTAATTATTGTTGCAAATTTGTGTAAGTGCCATAATCCCTATTATGGACATGTTATTAGTCCTTGAAAATCTCTGAAAAATTTTTGAAGACTAGATTAGTGTTGGACAAGACACAAAGCAATCATTTGATTGGTCACAATAAATCGTCCAAATCCTGAAAGTTGTTGCAATTAGAGTAGCATAATCGAATCATTTGATGAATAGTGAATCAAAAAGATATTAAATCTTTTGAATTCAATGAGTCTATTGTTGCTAAGTGTACATTCCAATCTGCAAGAAACAGGACATTGATATATACAATCAAATAATCTATGAAGCACAGACTGATTTTTAAAAAATATTTTGTGTGATTTATTATTCAATGTAGCTTTGTAATATGATCCCCAGTGTCTCTTCCTTTCCTGAAGATATCTTGGACATCTGGTAGTTCACATGCGATTGCAGACTATTAACCATCACTTTACTTGCATGGGAGATCTATGCAATGGTTCTGTGGTTGACTGTGTTTCTTGATGTCCCATTTCTTGCAGATGGGAATGCATACTCAGCATTTCAAATCTCTGGGACATTTTTGTTTCCATATTTATTGACAGATTTCAGTTAGAACTAGAGTAGATTTAGTGTCTGGCTTGCAGAAGCATTCTTGGTAGACATCTATTCCAGTGACTAAAAATGATCAGGGGTCTGGAGAACAAGCCCTAAGAGGAGATGAGCATGTTTAGCGTGAAGAAGGAAGGCTGAGAGGAGACATGATGGCCATGTATAAATACATGTGAGGAAGTCATAGGGAGGAGGGAGCAAGCTTGTTTTCTGCTGCCCTGGAGATTAGGATGCGGAACAATGGCTTCAAACTACAGGAAAGGAGATTCCACCTGAATATAAGGAAGAATTTCCTATGAGAGATGTTCAGCAGTGGAACTCTGCTCTGGAGTGTGGTGGGGGCTCCTTCTTTGGAGGCTTTTAAACAGAGTCTGGATGGCCATCTGTCAGGAGTGCTTTGAATCTGATTTTCCTGCTTCGTGGTGGGGGGTTGGACTGGATGGCCCATGAGGTCTCTTCCAACTCAATTATTCTATGGCTTATTTTTCTCAAGTGTTTTTGTGTAATTCTCATTTCACTTTTTAAAACTATAGGTTCATTCTTCATATTGTTCTTCCTCAAATGAATCTGATAACTTTTCATCTCTTTTATGTATTCATTCTGTGTATTGCTTCTGTCCTCTTTTTACTTTTCCTTTGTCATGTAATGTGTTTTCTTGCTGGTTGTATAGTATCCCCACTCTTGGTTTACTATGAAGTACTGTATTTCTTCCATTCTAAAATGCACGTTTTCCCTCTATAAACGGGATGTGTCTTAGAATCACAGGTGTATCTTTTGTTGGTGGTGGTGATACTTAAGGGTTTGTCTTACAATTGAAGAAATGCAGTATATTTTCCTAAAATCTGTTTGCAGCTCTTCATGCTGCCTAACTTTGTCTTTGTTTTCTTGTTGTAGGCTGAAAGTGATTGGAGATGGAGGGAACTGTGCTTATCTAAACCATGAAGCTAATGCCTTCTCTTTTGGATGTCATAACGAACTACCCTGGATTTGCAGCAAAGTTGACGTATTTAAATGTGAAAATACAAATGGATCATGTAATGACAAAAAAGCAACATAGGGCCCTTCCAGACAGGCCCTATATCCCAGGATCTCATTCCTAGATTAAGCTAGATTATATGAGTCCCCACTGCTAGATAATCTGGGATAAACAGAAAACTTGGGATCAGATCCTGGGATATAGGGACTGTCTGGAAGGGCCCATAATTTCCAAAATACAAATTTCAAGGGACATCCTAGGATTTCCATCCACCACTTTGAATGCAGGACCTGAGGACCAACTTCTGCTAACCTACCTTCTGCACCGAATTATCTTAGGTGCAACTGCTAAAACATGTGTCAGTTGGGAAAAGAAATGCCACAACAGAATGAGTGTTTGTACATGTTAATGAAATCATAGAGAACTATTGGTCACCATGCCATATGGAACTGAGCCTTTGCACAAGGTGCTATGAAAATTAAGTACTTATAAATGAAATATATTGTTTATCTTAATATGCTGGAATTAAGAATTTACTGCTCTGTTCCTTTTATGTAGATTCAAGGAAAAATTCTATCAAATTAACCTTGCCATGTTAAAAAATTCCATAAGACATGGGCCAAAAATATTTAGCTTTGAATCACCCATTAACATTATTTATTATTTGCCTTGTTTCTTCCCAGTATTTTCTTTGTATTCTGGGGTTTATATTCCTAAGATTTTGCATTACATTGTTATTAAGAATAGTAACCCCCCCTCCCCCCCCCCCCAATATTTCTGGCTATGACCACAGATCAAACCCATGACTTCTAAAGGGCCCTGCTTTTGCAAGCTTGCAAAGGGCTGGGCTTTAGCACAGCGGATTAAACCGCAGAAAATCTTGCTGATTGAAAGGTCGACAGTTCAAGCCCAGGTTGGGGTGAGTTCCCAACCATCAGCCTATCTTCTTCCCACCTAGCAGTTCAAAAACAGTAATGTGAGTAGATATAAATAGGTATGGCTTCGTCAGGAAGGTAATAAAAGCCATCCATCTGGACATGCCAATTCGATCGTGAGAGTGTCTAAAGACAATAAAGCTCCTCAGCATGGAAAATGGAGTGACAACACCTTCCCATGGCCAGAGTCAAGCACTGCCTCCAGATGCCAAAGATGGAAAAAGATGGCAAGCCTTTACCTCTGTTTATGTACTGTCTGTCTTTGTTAACTGTATAGTGGCATTGAATGTTTGCCATATATGTAAGGTTCAGCCCAGCCTGGCAGTGCCATCAATGGAGCCCAAGAGACTTCAGAGACAGGGAGCAGCAGAGGCGGCGAGGAGGAGGAGGCCACAGCCGATTGGGCAGAGCATCCCTACTTCGCGATGGCCTCCTCCTCCTCACCACCTCCGCTGTTCCCAGCCTCAGAGGCCCCTTGGATGCCATTGATGGCACTGCCAGGCTGGGCTAAGGCCTGGTCTGAGGCCTCGGCCCAGCCTGGCAGTGCCGTCAATGGAGCCCAAGGGGCTTCCAAGGCCAGCAGCAGCAGAGGCGATGAGGAGAAGGAGGCTGCCGCCGAGTGTGCGGATCCTCCTCCTCCTTGCCGCCTCCACTGCTCCTGGTCACGGAGGCCCCTTGGGTGCCTGTCATGCATCATGTTCTTCAGTTGGTGGTGGTGATAGGCCTAGCAGTTGGTGATGGAAGGTTTAATGTAAGTCTTAGTTCTAAAGGGTTGAGTAATCTGTAAGTACGAGTTCATGGGTGAAAGCAATTAAGGTTGGAGGTATTCAAGAGATAGGCTGCGGCTGGGTGTTTCTGGATTTAATGAACTAGCCTTGGGACTGATCTTTGGGAGAAAAGTATTTGTCTTATTTGGTGGTAGATGCTGCTGGTTTCCCTCCAGGTTTGTGAATTTTCGGTATCCTGACCTGTCTCTTGAACCTTTGGAACCTTGAATCTTTGGATTGGCTTTTGCCTAACATATAGACTCTTGATCCCTGGACTTTGCTCATTGAACTCTCGGCATTTGACCGTTGAACTGGATCTTTTGACTACGGTGTTATCTTGAACCTGCAATAGTGTTTGCTGTCAGTTTTGTTTTATATTCTGTGGCTGAGTGCTATCTTTATGTTTTATGTTTTGGACTATTAAAACAGCCAGAAAGTAAATGCTGCTTTAATTAAATTTTTTCAAACCAACTGGGAGTTTTGTTTGGTTTATCTCTACCTGAATAAGGCAGAGCCCTGGCATCATGACAGTGCCATTGATGGCACTGCGAGACTGGGCCAAGGCCTCCGAGGAAGGTGCGGGAAGCAGTGGTGGCGGCGAGGAGGAGGCCACCACCGATGAGCCTGGAGATAAGGCCCAGCGCCTGGCTCTTCCTCCCCTCCTCTTCTTCCTCCCCCCCCCCCCCATGGCTCTGGGTTCGCAATAAGTGAACCGTGAAATAGTGAGGGAACACTGTATATTAGTTCTGTTTTAATGTTTTTATATTTGTATATTTTAATTGTATGCCAATGCTTTTTATGTTAAGCCGCTTTGATTCTCCTTCGGGAGAGATAAATGAGCCATAAATGATGATGATGACGACGACGACAGGTAAATTACACTCTCAGAGTAAGGGAATAAATCTTATCAAGAAAAAAAATCTTATTGAATACATCTTGCCAAGAAAACTCCACAATAGAATCACTTTAGGATTACTGTAACACAGAAGATACACACACCACCAATTTAATGCATAAATATTTCCTTTAGGACAGCATTTCTCAACCTGGGGGTTGGTACCCCTGGGGGGGAGGGTCACGAGGAGATGTCAGAGGGGTCACCAAAGACCATCAGAAGACACATTATTTTCTGTTGGTCATGAGGATTCCATGTGGGAATTTTGGCCCAATTCTATCGTTGGTGAGGTTCAGAATTCTCTTTGTAGGTGAACTATAAATCCCAGCAACTACAACTCCCAAATATCAAGGTTTATCTCTTCCCCCCCCCCCCCCAACTCCACCAGTGTTCACATTTCGGCATATTGAGTATCCGTGCCAAGTTTGTTCCAGATCCATTATTGCTTGAGTCCACAGTGTTCTCTGGATGTAGGTGAACTACAACCTCAAAACTCAAGGTCAATGTCCACCAAACCCTTCCAGTATTTTCTTTTGATCATGGGAGTTCTGTGTGCCAAGTTTGGTTCAATTCCCTCATTGGTGGAGGTCAGAATGCTCTTTGATTGTAGGTTAACTATAAATCCCAGGAACTACAACTCCCAAATGACAAAATCAGTTATCCCCCCTACCCCACCAATATTCAAATCTGGACATAGCGTGTATTTGTACATCCTGCATATCAGATATTTATATGATGATTCATAACAGTAGCAAAATTACAGTTGTGAAGTACCAACGAAAATAATTTTATGGTTGGGGGTCACCACAACATGAAGAACTGTATTAAGGGGTCGCAGCATTACGAAGGTTGAGAAACACTGCTTTAAGAAATCTGCCATCACAAATCTAATACAAAAATATTAAAATAATAATAAAATGAAAGGGGGACCTCAGAATTAAATTATAAACACTAAAGTAGTAGGGGGAAAAACTTTCAAGTTATTCTAGAAATGGTTGCAAGGCTATAAGATGTCTGCATTAAATTCTTGTAAGAAAGTGCTGTATGATTTCCTCTTGACTTCTACAAGGCATGTATCTGAATCTGCCAGAAATCTATCAACTATTACTTAATTTATATTGTGTGGTATTTATAGAAAGGGAGTGAATGATGATGGGCAAAGGCTATGCTTTTTCATACAGTAAGGTCTGATGTCTAGATATATGACTCCTATCTCCTTAGGTTGCTGCTAAGAATGACTCTGTAGTAAATCTTATGCTTTTAAAAGCCCAAGCAAAATATGAAATAGGGCACAATAGCAAGTGGGTGCTAAAAGTATGCATTGTTTAAAAAGTAAATTTTAGTTTTTGCTGAATTGGTGGTCCAAAGGAATATATTTTTTTAAAAAATACTAGAGCTAAAAGGTCAGGAACTTAATAAAAACATGAAACAGTAGAGGCTGCCTTGCCTGTTACCTTTCTTGGGTTGGAGCCCCAGTGGTGCAATGTGTCGGCAGAACTGCTGACCATAGTTCAGCGGTTCGAATCCAGTGAAAGCAGGTTGAGCTCCCTCTGTCAGTTCCAGCTCCCCAGCAAGGACATGAGAGAAGCCTCCCACAAGGATGGTAAAACATTAAACATCCAGTCATTCCCAGGACAACGTCCTTGCAGACAGCCAATTCTCTCACACCAGAAGTGACTTGCAGTTTCTCAAGTCGCTCCTGACATGAAAAAATATATATATTGGATGTATTTACACTCTAGAATTAATACAGGTTGATCCAATTTTACTTGCCATGATTGTTAAAAATAATGGGATTTGTAATTTGGTCAGGCACCAGCAATCTTTGACAGAGAAGGTTAAAGGTCTTGTAAAGCTACAATTCCCATGATTCTATGGAAAGTGATATCAAACTGCATTAATTCTAAAGTGTAGATAATATGCCCCTTGTTAAAAATGTAGCACCAGAGAAGGATGTGCCCTTTGGTGCAAGCGAGCTGGCTGTCCCATGCCAAGATAATGTGGAGCCCTTCAAATTGCAGGCATTGTGCAAAAACATCATGGCGACCTGAAAGGTACTGCTTCCACTAGTGGCCAACTACAAATGTAAACACAAAGTAAATTGTGGAAAGAAGGTAACAACCCTGCTTATTTCCAGTAGGTCAATTATACCTAGAGATTTTATTTCTCATTTCCTGAAAAAGAGCTCGCTTGCTTTTTGCTGTGTTCCATTCACCCAGAAAATTCAGTGAAAATGCTCAACACAGAAGTTTGGTTCAAGCCCAGTAACCACTTAAATCGAAAGCATCTGTCTCACAAACCCATGTGGTCACAGTACTGCAGGCTTCAGTTATAATCTTTTGTCCATTCAGCATCCCACAGCTGTTTGCTTCAACTGGACCCAATTCTTGCAGTCTGCAGGGGGGGGGGGGAGAGAGAGAGAGAGAAAAGTGCTGGTTCTTAGCAGAATAAATAAATCTATATAAATAAAAATGTAATGTTCTTTTTTGGGATTAAAATAACTCAAAAACCACTGGACGAATTGACTGCCAAATTTGGACACAATACACATATCAGGCCAACGAGTGACCATCACCCATAAAAACACTGAAAAACACAGCAGAAGGGACTTAAAAAGCCAAAACATAAAAAATCCATTACAACGTATGCACAAAACCACACACATATATATGCAAACACACATATACACAAATACACACACACATATACACATATATACATACACAACACATATACACAGACTGTGCCACAGCAACACATGGCAGGGGATGGCTAGGAATAAATAAAACTTTATTTATACCCCGCCACCATCTCCCCAAGGGACTCGGGGCTTACGTGAGGCCAAGCCCTACAATACAGCAATGCAAATGAACAACATACAACAACAATAAAATAAAAACTAAAAAATAAAATACAAGAGACAATATAAAAAAGCACATCAACCAATATAAAATCACAATAATTTAAACACAGAAAATAAATCACAGTGGGCAGGGCCAATAGCAAAGATTAAAAAATTTAAAACACTGGGTGAGAAGGCAATGTAATGTATCTGGACAGGGGATCAGAGGGACGAAAGTAGGATTTAATTGCACTAGTAGGTGAAAAATAAAGTGCTTCCGAAGGCATTTTTTGGCAGGGTTTTGTCAGGGCCGGGTTATAGTTCAGTTCATCGGAACGTATTCCTGCTCTTTTCTCTTGACAAAATTTCATCCTTTGTTTCTTTCAATTTACCCTAGCTAGTGCATCCTATTTTACATAATGAACCTTTACCGGGTTTTGGGACAACTTTTTTACCCTAATGGACAAATGGAGATGATATATACAGACAGTCCCCAAGTTATGAACGAGATAGGTTCTGTAGGTATGTTCTTAAGATGAATTTATGAGAACAGGTACATTTTTACGTGTAACTCCAGCCAAATATATCTATATATATTAGCTTTGGATAGCATAGGGAAGGGAACACCCCTGTGGTGTTTGTTTTCCTGTCTGTGCCCCTGTTTAGAAGATTTCATCTCAATTTCTAAGGGGCTGGGCTTAGCACAGCAGGTTAAACTGCTAAGATGCAGAAAATCCTGCAGATTGAAAGGTTAGCAGTTCAGGACGGGGTGAGCACCCGCCATAAGCCCCAGCTTCTTGCCCACCTAGCAGATTGAAAACAGAATTGTGAGTAGATAAATAAGTACCACTTTAAAAGGGGAGGTAATAGGTGCCCATAAGGACATGCCGGCAATTCAGTTGGGAGGACGTCTAAGGATGGCAAAGCTCTCCTCGGCACAGAAGATGAAGCGACAGCACCCCCCCCCCCCACAACCAATCCACACACACACACACACACACACACACACACACACATTCAGGTGGCCAGAGTTAAGCACAGCCTCCAAAGGCTGGAAATGGAAAAGATGGGAAAAGACTACCTCTGTTTATATATTGTCTGTCCTTGTTAATTGTATAACGGCATTGAATGTTTGCCATATATGTGTTCTGTAATCTACCCTGAGTCCCCTCGGGGAGATAGGGCAGAATATAAATAAAGTATATCATTAATAATAATAATAATAATAATAATAATAATAATAATAATAATTATTATTATTATTATTATTATTATTATTATTATTATTTCCGTCACTCTGATAATTGGATTTTGACAAATTTGGCTTGTTGTGAAAACAAGGATTAGTGTAGACAACTTTTTCTCATTATAACTCAGAGTGAATTTCCCTATGAATCATTTGTAACTTGGGGATTATATGGAACATTTAGGATTTCCAACATGTATGGAGAATATATATATATAATCCTAAATGTTCCAGATTACAAAATTGTCCACATGAGTGGCTGTGATATATTCCCCTTTTGCTTTTTGATTGTTCAGTGTAACCAGACTTTGTTTCACAAATAAATTATTTTAAAATATTGTTTATCCACTTTTGATGACAACATTAAGTAGAAATACTCACTGTTTTTCATCTAGAGAAGAACCATCCACCCAGATCAATTTTTTTTCAGGAAATGTGGCTGTCAGTCCAATCCATAGCAACTGCGTTTCTCCAATAGCACTCTGAATAAAATCCTGTAAACAGAAAAAAAAGTTCTGCTCGTGCTATAATAGAATTGCTCCTCCTTCCTCAAATAAGTATAGCCACAATGAAGATATTTCAGAGTTTACTAGATGCTATTCTTCCAAACTGCCACAATATTTGTTAGACTAAAAGTGGGTTGGCCATTATGCACATGTATCATTTTGACTATAAACAAAAATGTGTTGCTCATGCAATCTTCTTCATGCACACTCTTTAAACTACATGTTAATATTGCAGACTCCCACACACAAAGATTTCCTTTGCCTACTGAAACTAAAGGGCAACTGTGTCTGCTTGGATTTACCACTTCATCCTGATTCTGTACCACCAGCATCTGAGAGTCTTTTGCTTTGCAGTCTTCCTGGCTCTTATTCCAAGTTCCTTGTTTTTTGGAGACCCAGTAGCATTTGTTTTCATAACGGAACCAATTCTGTGGGCAAAGTTTGCACTCAAAGCTCTCTGAAAAGGAGGAAAAAAGAATGGGAAAATAGATTGTCATATGTCTGAACCAATGCAACTACACGAGAATGTGTTCGAAGTCAACAGCTTTCCGCGTTTGAGGCTTGGACTTTTGTGGATTTAGTTATTCACATATTTCCTTTCCCGCATGTCACTTCCCTAAGTTATCTTGAAGTCCTTTAACAAAAGGTGCTATTAAACAGAGAGATGAGCAAAGATAGGTGTGCTATAGCTATCTGACTTTTTTATCAACCGGGGCTAATAGCAACAATGGGGGGGAGAGATTTTAAAAATAGTGAGTAGCTGCTGCTTCCATGTTAACTTGCCAGTGAAGCTAGCTTGGAATTTAGTTCAAATTCTAAAGGAGAAATCCAAAATGCTAAGTTTTTAAAAAATCCTCAGAACCTTGGATAGCTCCCTTAAAGTTTACATTAAGTGGATTCGCCACTTTACAGACCATGAAGCCATCACTCTGCTCAGACCAGAAAAATTAAAAAAAAAATATTTCCCCTTCTCTTTTAATTCAGGCTCAGTCCAAAGTATTTTCCAATAATGCAGTGGTGTCTAAAGCCTACTTCATCACACTAGAGAATGAATCCACTTTAAATCTGGTTTCTGCCTCCTGCAGAATTCTGGGTTTTGTAGTTTAATGAAGCCGTTAAAGGCTCTATTTTAGTTTCCATTTTTTAGCTGCTCTGCTTCATTCACCGAACTTTGTCTGTGCTCCAGTGACACTATCTTCTGTTGGTACCCACATTTCCCACCACCTATTATATCCTTTCTTCCCCTACAATAGGATAAGGGAGAAAAGATGTACTGGCTGCACAGTTATAGCTCTCTGTTTAAGCAGCCAAGATCTAATCACAAACATCCTGAGACACATCTTATTCAGCTTTTAGAAAGGCTCCAAAATGTCTGGCTTCAGAGATTTCCCAGAGTTATCTGAGTCCTATTTGCAGTGACTTCTTTGTGTCTCAGAGTGATTGACATTTAGAGGGCAACGTATTATAGTCTTCCTTCCATATCCATGCATTCAACCATGATTTGAAAATATTAAAATTCCAAGAGGAAAAATCTTGATCTTGCAATTTTATATAAGAGTCATCATTTTACTACACCAATCTACACAATACACAAAATTTGGGAGGCAGAGGTTTTCCTGGAATAAAACTTCTCCAGATACACAATTAAGAAAAGGGAAGAGAAGTTGACTATAACATCATATGGTAATAACATCAAAAGTAACACTGTTATTATTAATATTCTGTGCTTGCAACAATATTTATTACAACCATAAAGTTGTGCATTTCAGAAAAATCAAACCTGCACAGCTTTGATAGATTATAACCTCTGTGAAATTTAAGAAAATTGCTATGATAGTCTATCCTTTCTTAATTTTGTCACTGAGAGAAAATACAAATACCTGTTAAGCTGATACGAAGAGGTTTACACAAAAATCGTTTCAAGTGAGAGATGACATTCTCCAGGCTCGTCTTATCTTCTGTGCCATTGCGGAGTTCTTGAGAGACAGAAGGTTTCTCCAGAGCATGTATATATTGCCTCGTCTGAAAAGCTTGAAATAGCAACATCCATTTAGTGATTACTACACACAGAGCACGTAACCCATCAACAATGTTTACATGAAATGAACAATATACTATTTTTACCATTTTTTACACATTTCATTACATTTTCAGTATTTTCAAGTCATACAAAAGGAAGAGTAGCAGGTGGACTAGGTAAGACACCACAGTCTTTGTTGTGGCAAAGTATTTTATTAGACCAACCAAACCTACGCAAGATCTCTATATAAGCTTTGGATACCATAGGTTTGTTAATCAAATCAAGATAATTTTAAAAACTGGCAAGACTAAAGGTGTTATATGAAGTGGCAATGTCAGGAGTCACTTAGTTTACAGGTATTTTTTGGGTGATATGCAAGGGAGGGTTTGTATCCTTACTTTGAATGTGCTTACACAGGCCCTTTCAGAATTATTTTTAATTTAGTGCAAATTCTGTAATGTATAACATAGAAACACTACTCACCAAAAATTCGCAAAGCTATGGCAGCTCCTGCTAGAAGAAGGAAAACAACACCTCCAGCTCCAATAATGATCTGACACCAGCGTTGGTGGCTCAGTTGGGTTTCTATAAGAACCAATGTTTAAACAATGATCTTGGCTTCAATACATGCAACATGATAATAAGTCATTTTGGGGAAAAAATGAATCTATCATGAACTCTGTGCACTAAGAGTGAGGAACCTCTGTCCCATTCGCAAAGGTTCTTCATCAGACCTGCAGGGATGCTAGTGGCTCCCAGGTCAGGAGTCACTTAGTTTGCAGGTGTTTTTTAGATGATATGCAAGATCTTGAACCTACTGCATTTTAACCTGCACTTATAAGGTGATAGCCAAGAGCTGAGCTCCGTCTCCAAACAAGTCCAAGGCTTTGGATTAAAGTTTGGATTAAAATCCATAGCAGATCCATTGTTCCGTTGAAAAAGAAACCAGCAGCTAGTACTGCCAACTTGAAAGCTTTTCCCCCAGACACTATCTACTATCATGGAAGGAATAAGCCCTTATCTCCAATTAGTAAAATAAAAACAGGAGGGAAACCAAATTATATATCTAAATAACAACAACAACAACAACAGCAACAACAACAACAATATGATGATGATGATGCAAAAAGAAAGTGATGCTAAACTTGCGGTGCTTTCAAAAAGGGGAGACAATAACATTCAAATAAGCCTCTACCATGGGATAAATAACTTCCTAAGAATGCGGGGAAAACACATAGGATGCCCATTAGAAGTCACATCTGGCCATGGCAACAAAAAGATTGCATTTAAAATCTTTAAAATGTTTGACTGCTGCTGAAAATTGGTAACATTGGATGTTTGTTTTCTGGTTCTTATTTATGAATTGGATCTGGCATTGAATGTTTGTCATCTTTTGTTATGAATCTGCCCTGAGTCCCCTCGGGGAGAGAGGGTGGAATATAAACAAAGGTATTATTATTATTATTATTATTATTATTATTATTATTATTATTATTATTACAGCAGCAAGAAAATAGCTGACTCTCCACATTTGCAGGTTTAAATTTTGTGGATTTGATTACTCAATGACTTGATGAATATGTTCTCTCTAGAAGCCTCTCGGTTCCCCAGAAAAATTCTATAGTCAGTTCTTCAGCCTAATTCATGTGCATGTTTTTGTGACTGAATGTGAACGAATTTGTTCAGCAGCAGCTGTCCCTAAGATATGTTCTTCAACTATCCCAGCACTGCTTCTCTCACAAATGAAGAACCACATGACAAAATAAAATAAAATATGCAGGCTCTCCTAGAACCTGGTAATATGATACTACCTGGATGTTAATATATGTGGCAGCTATAAGAGTAAACTGCATGAACAAGAAGATAAGCACAGAATATCTTCTGTGCATTTTTTAATAACATCAGAAGTGACTTGAGGAACTGCAAGTCGCTTCTGGTGTGAGAGACTAGGCCGTCTGCAAGGACATTGCCCAGGGGACACCTGGATGTGTTACCATCCTTGTGGGAGGCTTCTCTCATGTCCTCGCATGGGAAGCTGGGGCTGACGAATGGGAGCTCACCCTGTCTCATGGATTTGAACTACAGGCACAAGAGTTAACCCATTGCACCACCGTAGATCACATCTTTTCTGCTGAAGAAAGGATATGCAAACACAGCATAGGGTACTGATCTATTATCCAGATGGAGGCCAAAAAGGGATGCTAGACAGAGAAAGATAGACCATATTATGTGGGAGGGGGTTAAAGGAGTAACACTATTTTCCCCCTATTTTCCTGTTATTCCCCCCACCCATGTTGCCTTTGTGGAAACAATGCTCATTTATGAAATGGGAAGTGGGGAAAGGGAATAAACAGCAAAAATGGGGAAATGGTTTTCCTCCTTCAACTCCCCCCCCCCCTTAAAATGGACTATCATCTTCATCTAGTGCTCTCTTTTGGCCTCCACCTGGATAATGGAACAGTTTCCGGCGGTAGAAATAACTCCTCTAGATATTGTCAGATTGCAACTCCCATCATTCCTCATTATGGCCTGCTGGATACCACTACCTAAAACTATCTGCAAGACAACATGTTTTCTACTCTGTGCTAAGGCAAAAATTCAGCAACCTGATATTCTCCAGATGTTCTGAACTACAATGGTCATCAGCTCCAGCAAACATAAGCAATAGAAACACATTGTGGGTGCAACTGAGCCACAAAACTATTGGGACAACACTTCAAATATAGAAAACTGGTTCAAATGAAGAAGCTCTTACTTACTTGGTTCCTGAGTTCCTGGGTAAAGCTGCCGCCCTTTCCTTGTGCAAACATTAAGAGCCACGTAGCCCTCCTCATCCTCCATTTCTGGAGAGACACCTTTTAGCACCTTGCTAGAAATTGCATGTTGGGACACAGAGGTAGGCAGAGTACTTCTTTGTATCTGAAGCTCAACTCTGCATAAGAAAGGCTGGCTGACCCCTTCCTGGAGAAAAGGAAGCGAATCACACAGGAAGCAAAGTCTTTCTGACCACCTGTCAGCACCTCTGCTCTGCTCTTGAAGATTGAAGCCTGGCAGTGGAGTTTCATTTCCAAAAATGGTGGTGAGGGAAGATCACGCAACCAGCCCCAAAGATACATTCTTGTTGGGAGGCATGTCTTTTCCCCAGTCCACATTTTAACCAATTTATTTTCCCTTTTCCCATCATGAAATGAAGCAAATTAATATTGCAACCCCAGTGTGCTGAAGATGGCATTCTGCATCTGATTGGTGTGAAATTTTGTAAACTGGTTTCATGTTGGAACCAAAATTAAACAATCAAGGAAGGCAATTACATCTTAGTAGGAAAATGCAGGATGCTTAACTTAAGTGTATATATGTTATAGCCTCGATGCAATTTGACATTGTTTTAATGGCTATCACTCTATGCTACATCTTGAGAGATGTAACTTGGTGAGACAACAAACTTCTTTAGCAGAGAAGGAGAAATATCCTGTCAGATTACAACTTCTATGATTCCAAAGCATTGAACAATGATTGTTAAAGCACTGTCAAGCTCCATTAAGTCTGTCATATAGGTAGATCCTCATGATCCATCACAACACTAATGAAGGGGCAAAAAGAAAGAAAGATAACAGTAATAGAGAACAGTCTTGGTATGGGAAATTTAGCAGAAAGGAGGGTACTTACCTTTTCCTCACTAATTAATCAGCCTTGCAAACCTACCAACAAGCCAGCCATCTTAAATTACTCTCTTACCCCTCCAAGTTCTCAATAAACCTGGTTTGAAGGGCTAAGATGGGAAGTTGCAGCTGCAGGACACATTTGCAGCATACCTCCCAACTCCAGTGATTCTTTGATGACACAGATTTTCAAAATCCATCGCAGTGTGGTTTTAGACCTGGCCATGGTACTGAGACGGCTTTGGTTGCCTTGGTGGATGACCTCCAAAGAGAACTTAATAGAGGGAGTGTGTCCCTGTCGGTTCTCCTGGATATCTCAGCGACTTTCAATACCATCGACCATAGTATCCTTCTGGGGCGGCTCTCCGGAATGGGTCTTGGGGGCATTGCTCTGCAGTGGCTCTGCTCCTTACTGGAGGGTTGCTCCCAGTTGGTAAAGCTGGGGGATACCTGCTCGGACCTATGGCATTTGATCTGTAGGGTCCCACAAGGTTCCATTCTATCCCCCATGCTTTTCAATATCAACATGAAACCACTGGGTGAGGTTATCCTGAGTTTTGGAGTTGGGTGCCATCTGTACGCAGATGACACCCAACTCTACTACTCATTTCTACCGAATTCCAAGGAAGCTTCCCAGACCTTGAACCAGTGTCTGACAGCTGTGATCGAATGGATGGGAGGGGAGGAATGGGGACTGTCTTATTTCCCTTGGAAAAGTGTTCCAGAGGTGGGAGGCCACCACCGAGAAGGGCCTCTCTCTCATCCCCACCAACTATACTTGTGATGGTGGTGGAAGCGAAAGGAGGGCCTCCCCAGAGTTTGCGCCGGTTCATAGAAGGAGATGCGATTGTTAAGATATGCAGGGCCCGAACCATTTAGGGTTTTATAGGTCATAACCTGTACCTTGAATTTGGCTCGGCAACTTATTGGCAGCCAATGAAGCTGTTTTAATAGGGGCGTTGTATGCTCCCTATAGTTTGCTCCAGTAAGGAGCCTGGCTGCTGTCCATTGTACCAATTGAAACTTCCGGGCCACCTTCAAGGGCAGACCCATGTAGAGCACATTGCAATAGTCCAATCTGGATGTAACCAAGGCGTGGACCACCCTGACTAAGTCAGACTTCACAAGGTATGGTCGCAGCTGGCGCACAAGTTTGTGTTGTGCAAAGGCCCTCCTGGCCACTGCCGACACCTGAGCATCAAGCAACAGTGTTGAATCCAGGAGGACCTCCAAGCTACGGACCTGCACCCTCAGGGGGAGTGTAACCCCATCGAGCACAGGTTGCCACCCAATACCCTGGTCAGCCCCGCAACTGACAAGGAGGACCTCTGTCTTGTCTAGATTAAGTTTTGTGGGGAAAGGTTAGTATAAGCTAAAAACTTTCATGTCTTTAAATCTGATTCAACTTCATTTCCATTAAAAAGGGACATTAGTAATAATTGTATTCATTTTAAACTGATCTTTTTGATATATAGCCAGCTATTTGAATCCAAGGGTTTTGTATCCATGGATTTAACAAAGCGTGGCTTTAAAAAAATAGTAAAAAATAGTAAAAAAAAATTCCAGTGCTTTTACATGATATTCACCATATTATACAGGGGACACAATTTTACTATCCTGCTGTTTAAAATGGAACTTGAGTATCCAAGGATTTTGGTATCTACAGGTAGTGCTGAAACAAAAACAAATAAAATATACCCAACCATACTACATCCCTTGGCAGAATAAAAGTTAAAAGTCTCATTCATTATTTTTCTTCTCTCCCAGCAGCCCTTCCTTGTTTTGAGCCCAGAAGAGGAAAGGGGGGGGGGTCAACAACTGGATCACCTTGGTGTAAAAAAAACCCCTTTCCTTATTGTTATCTGCTCTCAAGTTCTACCTGGTCTTTATTGTGTGATCCAAATCTTCTAATTTCCCAGTTTTTCAGGGTCTTTGATTTCGTAAAGCACGTTATAACATTCCAAAAAAAGGCTGGTTTTTGTTTTAAGCTGGATGACGTACAGCAGGGGTCCTCAAACTAAGGCCCAGGGGCCGGATACGGCCCTCCGAGGTCATTTACCTGGCCCGTGCTCAGGGTCAACCTAAGTCTGAAATGACTTGAAAGCACACAACAACAACAACAACAACAACAACAATCCTATCCCATCAGCCAAAAGCAGGCTCACACTTCCCATTGAAGTACTAATAAGTTTATATTTGTTAAAATCGTTCTTCATTTTAATTATTGTATTGTTTTAAGTGTTGTTATTGTTTTTGTTTTTTGTTATTTTGTTTTTGCATTACAAATAAAATATGTGCAGTGTGCATAGGAATTCATTCATGTTTTTTTCAAATTATAATCCAGCCCTCCAACAGTTTAAGGGACGTTTGAGGATCCCTAACATACAGTTTCTTGACTGAGTTTGCTGCACTAGTTCCTGAGAGACAGAAGGGAGTCGAATATTGAAGGAAAAGTAATATCCTAGTCAGGGAGAAGATACATGTAAACTGAGATTGGCAGCTGGTCCTATCAGTCATTGGCCATTCCTGCCATGACTGCCCCCTCGAGTCAAGTAGTCTCACTGCAATGCTTAGTTGTACACAGTATTTTTTTCTAGCTTCTGCAATGTGTCATTGCAAGGGGATTATGTTTACAATAGGATGTGGCCTCAAACTACATTTCCTGCAGAGATGCACATCAACATACCAGAGGCATATGGGGTGCAGCAGGGAAGAGAAAGTGACATTTAGCTGGTAGGCAAAACTTAGGTAGCATTGGGCCAATTCTTTGGAACTGCCTAGTCAAAGGAACAGCAGAACATCCATATTTTTAGATTCTTGCGGAAGGTGGACAGGATAGGTGCCAGTCTAATCTCCCTAGGAAGAAAGTTCCAGAGCTGGGGGGCCACCACCAAGAAGGACCTCTCCCTTGTCTCCACCAACTGCGCTTGAGATGGAGGTGGAAGCAAAAGAAGGACCTCCCCAGATGATCTCAGGGCTTGTGTTGATCCTTAGGGGAAGATGCGATCTCGAAGATAGGCAAGTCCTGAACTGTTTAGGGCTTTGTAGGTAATCACCTGCACCTTGAATTGGGACCGGAAACTCATTGGCAGCCAGTGGAGCTGTTTGAACAGGGGGGTTGACCGCTCCCTGTAGCTTGCTCCAGTTAGTAATCTGGCCGCCGAGCTTTGCACCAATTGCAATTTCCAGGCCGTCTTCAAGGGCAGCCCCACATAGAGTACATTGCAATAATCCAATCTAAGCAAGAGATAAGAGTCAGACAGCACTTCGTAAATTGTTGGATTACATTTTCAGAATTCATCATATGTGGCAATGCTGGCTGGGGTTGCTGACAATGTCAGTTCTCCAACATCTGTGTCCATCTGACATCTGCCGGGAAGTAGCTGCCTGTAATGAAAGGACCAAGGCAGTGACATCTCCGGACCATCCCTATTCAGATATCAGTCAGCACATGAACACCTTAAATCAAGAAATAGTTTTCTAAGATCTACAAAGATACTTGCAGGAACACCTCAGCAAATGAGAGTCCAAATTTGGCAGGCTAAAACCCGGAATCTCAAGACATGGCTGATACCAAATGAGACTCCCCCCTGGATACATGGAAGACTGGGCAACTTGGAAGGTTCTGAACAGACTGCACTCTGCCATCATGAAATGCAGAGGCGATCTTAAGAAATGGGCCATAAAGTGGAGTCCACAACATGAGAGTGTGGAGAAGAGCAAACCACAGACCACCTATTACAATGCAACCTGAGCCCTGCCACATGCACAATGGAGGACCATCAGAGGTATTTGAAGTGGCCAGCTACTGGTCAAAGGACATTTAGTATAATGACAAGTTTTTAACTTTGTGTGCTTTTTTAAAAAAAATTACAACTTATCTATCCGAACGTATCTCAGCCTATCAGCCCACCAGGACCCTAAGATCTTCTGGAGAGTCCCTGCTCTCTGTCCCACCGGCTTCCCAAGTGCGGCTGGCGGGAACGAGAGACAGGGCCTTCTCTGTGGTGGCCCCTCGGCTTTGGAACACCCTCCCTATAGAGGTACGATCAGCCTCCTCGCTGATGGTGTTTCGGAAGAGGTTGAAAACATGGTTGTTTAAACAAGCATTCGGTTAATCCGTTGCTACCGAATTTTGATGACTAAGGACTGGTTAATCATGGACGACGAATTCTGGATTGTGATTTTAGTTACGAGATGCATGGGATTATTATTGGTGGCCCAATAATTTGTATTGTATATGTGTTGTTGTTTTAAATTGAATACTGTTTTTTAATTGTTGTAAACCGCAATGAGTCGCCGATTTAGGCTGAGATATTAGCGGTATACAAGTGTATAAATAAATAAATAAATAAATAAATAAATAAATAAATAAATAAACTGTACCCTTGGTTTGCTTCTGATAAGGTAAATAAATAAAACATCTTTGTGTCTTATTTCAACCAG